CGTCCAAGATATACATATGCATATCCTCCTTTTAATTGTTGTATGGTGCATATTTTTATATTTTTTCTTCATCATACTATATAACTGCGATTAGTCTGTTCTTAGGTGGATTATTACCACGTACCGCTTTGATCTTGTGGTGTGTGTGTGTTTCAAGTATTTTGAACTCTCTTGCTCTGCTGGATGGTCTTTGTTGCCTAACTCGACAAGAGTGGCAAACTAGGTAATGACAACAATGATTTAAATTTGTTTCTTATATTTTATTGTGTTTATTCAATAAAGTATAAGCCCGATTTTTTTAATTATTATACAATACACTTATAGCTAAATTACAAGCGAGTAACATCGTTTGTATTTTAAGCAACACTGCGGGATATAGTTAGCTATTATATAAAACGAATTGCGTGATAGCTGGCTATCATATGTATGAATGGTGCAACTTATTGCTGCGTTTTGTAGGACCATTACATAACTATGCGGCTAATAAAATATTACTGTACCTATAGTAAGCTGGAATGCTCAAGTTATAGACACACCCGCAGTTATAGTGTATTTAAACCAGATAGTTCATAACAATATAACCGGATGCTAATTATCATTTAAACTACATAAATAATAAAGACATTACTCGACTGTTTTCTATTTGCACATAACTATTAACTTAATCATGTGATTAGTATTATGAATTCTATGACAATACATACTTTCCGGGTAAATACCTAATGACTTCTATTTCTATTCTAATAATTTCTAATCATTTCCCATCATTCTAATCTAAGTGTTTTATGATAGTCCATCGAGCAGGCAATAAATATCACAGCTCTTACTATAATGTGCTGTTGTTTATGTGGACATGAAAGTCATGATATCATAGTACTTTTGAGAAATGAGGTGGTTATGCCTTTTTCTATGTCAGCTAAGGAAATTTTATATATACATACAGTTACATGTGCCTATATTATTGTATATTTAGACATTCGTGTGGGAATACCTAAGCCCCCCTTACGGCTTAGGTATTCCCACACGAATGACTAAATATAGACTAAGTTCAGCAAATACAAGATTGTATTCCTATTTATGACTTACTTCAAGTATTCTTGAATTAATTGACTAACACGAAAATAGTTTCTCAAGTTCAAGTTGACATATGTACTATAGATTTATACATTAAAATATGAAACGTATAGTTGTATTTTTAATTTTCTACCTTTTCACTAATAAAAATAAACACAGAGCTCGTATTATTAATATAATCATAGTTTCCTCATTGTTTCATTTTTATTATACGTATTATAAACATGCACTTATATATTATTCAGACGTCCAGAGTTTATGCGTCCGTGTCGTGCATCCATAATGTATAACTATTGTTATTGATTCTACATGTTATGTTTATGATTACACAATCCAAATATGAGGTTATTGGTTATGTAAATAGGTTGTTTACTATTTGATTCATATTTTTAAAAGCATATATATAGTTTTTCTTTTCATACCTTTTTGTCATTATAGCAACATAAAAATGTTGTTGTATTGGAGTAGTCATAGACCGAGCCGTTTTTATTTAAAGTTATACGTTTTTATTTTAGAAAGTGTCGAGCATTGTAAACCTGTCTGTCTGTAATGACAACAGCACTTATTAATCACTAGTTACCGATGACTAATCCTATAATTGGTAGAAAATGTAATATCTAAATGTTTTTTAAATAGTTACACGGTGTTATATCTATTAGTGTAAACACAATACTTTTAGATTGAAGAACAAAGAGTATAGAATATTATCTTTATCGATGGATAGAATATAGATTTATCTGTTGATGTGATGTACGCTGTCAGGTCATCAGTGAGGGATGAACGGATGGGACAAGTCACGTGTAATAAACAGAACATTTTATATCATAATAGACAGGACAAGTATATATTTTGTTTTGATTATATACTTATTAACACATATTCGAAATACTAATATTTGTAAGGAAATCATTAGATTATATTTTTTATTTTTGCGGCGATATCGTGCTGCGTGATGTACACACAAAATAATTACCTATCCGTAGCCGTAGACATAAAACAATTTGAATTGACATTTCTTTCTTTTCAAGTCCTTAGATATGCGTAATAGTATATGTATAGAATATTTCTTCAATTCCAGAAGCTTGACTTTGTATTTCCAATTTGTTATGTTACCGATATTTGACTAGGTCGGTCACAACTTGCCATTCCGCCATTTCGGTCTATAGTTACATGATGTGTTTTACCACTCATAGGCCGTGGTTACGAGGTGACTGGAGCGTGCCGTGCCCTAGTCAGCTGCGTGTGTTACGGATGGTTGCTTCATGCTGGCTATCACCAACCGACGCTTTTGTCTATCCATATTTGAAATTTTCAACCGTCTTCATAAAATGGAATATCTGAATTCCATTATATTTTTTATTCAATCGATTTCGCATTTATTATTCTGAGTCAGCTAGCGATATCCCAAAGTGGAATAATATTGATAATACTTTTTTAAATCAATAGTGTTTACTCCTGTTTTGATTCCTTTTTTATTACTATTAAACGGTTTAAATGCGAAAGTGCGTATGTCTATCTGGCTGTCCGTTTGGTACATTTTTACAACTAAACGTCTGAAATAAAATTTGACTTGAAAATAGATGGTATCACGGTCATCAATATTAGTCACATCGGTTTTTCTATCACAAAAAAGCAGACGAAGTCGCGGGTATAACTAGTACCTTATAGTATCTTATAGTATTAGTATCTTAGTTTCATAACACCTTTATTTTTTGTAGTATTATGATTCTATAATAGGTCCCTGTATATGTAGCTGTATATAAATGTAGCTACTTGAATGGCCACAGAATTATAAGCTTAAGGGATAAAGATATGCGTACAGAATACAGATTAAAAAAGTTACATAAATAGAATAAGTTATCAGTCAATACGTCTGAACTGTGAGCCAATCAATTATGATAACATTTGTTTTCAGCTGTCTGAATTTTAATTTAATTTAGCGAATATTTCATAGTAAACTTATTATGAACCTACATATATAGTGCGGCGTGTTTACCACTCTGTTTACCATATTTCCGTCAGATGGGTCAGTAACATGTTTACTGTTCGTATAAAAAAATACGACATGTGTCTAGTGCCTACCACCCCTGGCGCCTTATCCGATCATTTCGTGGCTGGAATACAGTAGATTAAATCATAAAATCTTCCCCACACAGCCCTAAAATCAATGGCTATATCAGTGTTGTGGTGGGAAGCTCCTAAGATCCTGATATCGCGTCGTGTATAGGTTGACGGAAAACAATGATAACTAGTGATGGTACATACTCGCCTTTCGACCTTATATCGTTTATAATTTAAGGTTGAAATTATTAAGATTCTAATATCTCTGTGTCAAACGCATGTTAGTCTGTATAATGGTTTTTTTATTACTTTTATATATTTTTAAACATTGATATAAAATAGTATTAATTGTTTATTGCACTTCTTCTCCATATTAACTTTGACTGTACTAGATTTTATACTTCTCTTAAATATTTGTCGTGTGGCAACACGAAATAATATAACAGTAATGACATCTATTATACTGCTGATATTATTACCGATTTTAGGGTCGTCTGTAGATGCTTTAAATCTAAATATAATTGGGTCCATAGTGCACTAAACCTATTTGAGCTGATGTTTCGTGAAGGAAGCGGAAGGGATTCGTATGAGCCGCACTGATTGTCATTGCGATCACAGCGGCCGACAGGAGTTGCATACTGATTGGTCTGTATTATAAACCAACGGTAGCTTTTTGTTGAAATAACCAGCACAGTCACAGCACTCGCCAAATGCGTTTTGGCGCTTCCGACCTATTTGGACGGCTACTTGGCAAATTTTCATTGGTGTCTTAAATATACTTAGAAGCGTCAATTAGTTTTATTTTAATGCGACATATTGTATATATTCAGAAGTGTTTTATTGTTTTAATTTATAATTACCAACAAGGGCTGCCAACGGTATCTTTAACAGAAATATATTTTTTTAGAGATCGACCTACACGTTACGCTTAAGAAATAAAATAGTGCGATAGGCGCAATATTTTTTTTATAAAAGTTAAGTTTCTTGAGAACAGTTCGAAAACAGGGAATGTTTTATACAAAAACATCGTACGTCACTCATTTTTACAGGAGTGTACTCATAATTAAGTTTAATAAATACTGTCACAAGATGTCATATTATGTTTATTTATATTGAATCTTTAAAAACTACGTTTAAATTCAGATCATAAAATAAAATGTAAAACACTATCGATTTCCCTTACAATATCAATGCTGAATTACATATCTTTTTGTTTGCAAACTGATGTTTTATTTATGATATGTTTATCAAATGTTGAGTTGCTCATTGAATAAACATTGTAAACCAAGGTCCCCTGACTTTGAGACTGAATCAATTCAATACACTTGAATCTATTGATAAATTAATTCGATTACTTAGACATATTTTCATGTATTCTTTTTACTATACATTAGATATGAACGTGGAAACTTTGTGGGGTTCCACGTTATTCCAGTTGGATGCCAATTGTACATAAATTAACTTTATAAAGAGAGTGCTAGATTAGATTTTAGAGTAGAAAGAGTGTACTCAAAACCGCTGCACCATTTTCAGAAATTCTTGAACTGATTATATTTATAGGGTATATACATATAATATCACTTTGAAATTTCAATATATTATGATAATATCAAAATTTACTAAGTTTTACTATATAACTTACAGGTTGTAGGTATTCAAGCGTCTTGTCCCCGCTATTTGATACGGGTGACGAGATAGTAATCAATCAGCATCCGGGCGAAGCCAGGGCGGTCTAACACTCTAGTAATGGATATTTCTGGGATATGGAAGGTTCAATAACACGAGAAGGTTAAATGTCATATCACTCAACTGCCCTCGTTGCGGTAGCAAAACAATTTGATTATTACCGTTTTGTTTGTCCGCAGTCCGGCAAGTACGGGGAGGGGCATATCGGGTCGGCACATGGTGTAGCGGTGCATGTCCGGGCGAAAGGGCCAGGTGGGGAACGAGACCACTCGGGGTGCACGTGGCCACTCCTGTCAATGGACGCGCCCGACGACCCGCTCCCCGACGAGCCGTGGATCGCCGTCATTAGAAGAGGAAATTGTAACTTTGAAATTAAGGTGGGTAAAGAAATTATATCTTTTTCAGATTAACCGTCGTCATAATTTCATCTATTTATATCTACATACTTATTTTTGAAGAGTATTAATGTTAAGTTAAAGAGAACCTAACCGACGCGACGGTGGTCTAGCGATTTAGCATACCGCTTCTACTTCCGATGGTCGCGGGTTCGGCTCCTCGCATATATAAATATGTGTATTCATGGTTATAATTGTTTGTATTAGTCTGGGTGTTTCTTTGTAGGTATATTATGTATTTATTTACAAAAATATATGTCTATAAATTTATACCTACATACTAGTATATTATCTACTACCTCCTTTTGTACCTACCCAGATTACCTACATAAATGTGTAGTATCTATAGTATATTATTGATTTGTAATATTGGTATTTCCATATCAAAGATCGATTGTGTGATAAAGGGTCTAATAATGACGACAAGTTTTTGTAATAAAACTCCGATACGAGTAAATTAAGCCTTTTAAGTGTACCTACAAGTATAGTAAAATACCTATTTAAAATATAGTATAATCTAAAAGTGCAAGGAATACCTTTTACTCTGCAGAGACTGGACATTTAATTTTTGCAAGTTTGAAGATTATAAATATGATAAACTTTATTACAATGTACTTATTTAAAGGTCTCTAGAGCCCACGACTTCGTATCCTTATATAACATTAGAATAAAACAAATATCTACTAAGGCTTACCACAATTAGTAACAAAAATCACAAAGACAAATAGACAAACATAATAATAAAAATTGTTTTTGTTTCTATTACTTAAATAATGTATCCAAATAATAGTTTTTCTTATGTGTCCATGTATAAACAGCGATCAATTACATTCTTATTATGGGTATAGATTTTTATAGAATAAGTTTCAATACTATAAAATTAAATAAAAAATAATTTCGTACAGTAGAAGGAACGCAGTGTAAAGCGACCCGTGACTGTATAGCGATACGGAAATTTGTAAATATTCCTCAATTCGTAATTACTTTATACTTTCTTCTTTTAAGTAACAGGATTATAAGTAATATAATTTAAATTTGGTCTGCTCTTATGGCTTCCAGAAGCTAATTTGTAATCGAAATCGAAAATCCCTTTGATATCGAGTATTGATAATTTGGCACAGAATTCCAATCGGTGATTTCATCGCGGTTCGAATGTGAATTCTCATTTGTGTTGTATGAAATATCCATCAAGTGCAGTACAGATGGGCTCAATGTTTATTAATTTTAAAATTAGCCTATTACGATGTTGCGAATTTTTTATATGTATAAAAACATTAGATACATACATACAGAACCTAATCAGAATTAAGGATACCTATTATTTAGATTTATTATTAATATATTATACTGATAAGGGCAGAAGCCAATATAAGAAGAATAAGATCTGGCATGTAGAATCTTATCTTTTTAATAATAATTAAAATATATGCATATGCACTGTTGAATGAACTATTACAAAGTTTCATTTACAAGCTAAATTGTTCAGTCTACATTTGTGAGGATGAAATAATCTGTGAGTGTCTAAAACTGTAGCTATTAATCTGTTTAAAATAATTTTTTTTGCAACTGCTACTGAAAACTGTACTAAGATGTTTGCATGTGTATTTTCTTATCTTTTTCCGTTCTGGGTGTTTTCTATATAAGTCTTTATATCAGTTGTCAATTACTAATAAGATGCTTTGTTTACCTTGCGACTAGAAGACGCTTAGTGAATAAACTTGTCCTAGATTATTAGTACTATTATTTTACTCTGCCTCAAAGCAGTTTCTGTGTCAAAGCAGTTTCTTTGTTACATAATTTCGGTTGATCCTTCGGTTACTCCTCTACATGGGTATTAAGGCATGATACTAAAGGCGTCACCATGGACGTGATGTCCATAGCGCTCTTCATGTAGGTAGGTATATAGACAACCATTGCTACTTACCAGCAGGTGGTCAGCGTTATTCATTGCCAATCCTGTTACAAAAATAGTAAGCTCCATTTATACTTACCCTAATTCTTAACCGATTTTGATAAGAGTTTCTTTGATATTTGATCTTTTGTGTGTGTATTTTAATGTTATCTTATATTACAGGTTCAGAATGCATGGCGGGCGAACGCATCCGCCGTACTTGTGTACAACGACAGGGACACCACAGCCCTCGAGAAGATGAAGCTGTCGTCTGATAATGGACGTAAGTACTATAAAATAAAGTCAAATTTGCTTTCGCGCATCCATACTATTATTATAAATGCTAACGTGTGATTAAACGGCTGAACGAAAGCTGATCTTTCTGATCTCACAAGAACGGAGAGGTTATCTTATATTTCAAAAGAGTAGACCGAAGTCGCGATTGGTTTTAGAAGTACGCGGCACAGTTACTACTTATCTGCTGCGCAGTGACGGCCTCGGTGGTCTAGCAGTTTAGCACACCGCCTTTCTTCCTATGGTCGCGGGTTCGATCCCTCGCATGGCACAAACATTTGTATTCATCTGATTACTCGTATCAGTCCGGGTATTCCCTATGTATAATATGTATGTATTTACGAAAAAAAATTATCTATGTATTTGTGTCAGTTACAAGTACCCATAACACAATACTTGGATCTAGGTGGTGCTGTGTGAATTGTCCTGAGATTATTAATATTATTATTATCTATATTTAGGCGCATATATGGAATGGGAATTACTTGAATGTGCACCTAAGCACAGATAAACAAAGTATCTAAATGATCATAAATATTTTTCAAATTTACTATTCGCCGAAGCCAAAAGAAATAATAATCTACAATTCCGACAGATTTAATACTTGGTACGTTTGAGCTGGTTTAACGTAGTGTGAGTGTCACGGGTGTGGGGCTTGTCTTTAGTTCGATCGTGTTCTTGGCCTAGGGATGGCGGCCGTCGGCGTCTCGAACCAGGTTCGATGACCAGTCGACCCTCGGCCCCGCCTCAGGGTTACGTGTACAATAGTATCGCAACAGTAACATGCTAATATCTCACTTATTATATTCTAATTGGATATTTAAAGATATTTGTTTTATGCATACTAAACAATAACAATATATGTCTAATGTAGGTATATTTTATTTAATTTTTTGTTCTATTTAATGGTTTATGAAATATTTACATCAGTCTATGTTATATTAATAAGGACCATTTATCCCCACCCCTCCCAATTGTAATTAAATGATAATGTAATATTTGATATGTAAATCGGATATCGTTTTTCATTCCAAACACACAATCAAATCTGTAAAGTATACATATAAAGGATGTTTCTTAGTTTAGATATATATTAAATAATGACTTCAATACGTTAACCATTTAATACGTATATTATACTAGGCTGATACGGAAAACGTTGTTTATTATTATTATATAGTTATTATATATTAAATAATGATTAATATAATTATGATAAATTAATCAGTTATTGACCGCCGAGAGTAGAGAATTATTAAAGTATACTAATATCGCTACTAAAACATAATGGTTGATTGTGGAACAGTGAACGTTTAGGATTGTATGTTTTATTTATTACCGAAAATTATAAAGAAGTACAATTACAAATTTTTTCTAAAAAAATGCGTTGTGTTAAAGACGTTTAAGAGGAGTTTTGTTACAAAAACTGACACGAGAATTTTATATGTTACATAAATATGATTTATGTAAATAATAATATGTACAGTTCTTAGACATGCTTACAGATCTCTAAAATCGACGATAAGAACAATAATATATAAAAAAAACCTAACGTGATAATGCATATATTTTATTATTCTATAGATATCATATAATATATTAACAATAACACAACGAAACTGCAAGTGACACGAACACGGTGAGAAATATAATATTATTCAAGGTGATCATCTTCTGGTACCCATTACTTTGCCTTCCTGTATACCTATATATTAATAATAATTATGTACTACAAAAGGAATATGGACAGTCATTACCAGAATCTAGACACGCGGCAGCGTGTCAAGCCGAGTTTCAAGTAAACTGGCTTGCAGCACCGTGTGTATATTTACACGAACCAACTTTTGACCCCCTCATAACTCAAAAACTCTTTCACACAAACCTGTCAAATTTGGTTCATATATTGAGACTTGCGAGATAAATATGTGTTCCAAATTTCATAAACATATCTCAAACGGTTATTTAGATATTAATGTCCAAAAATCGTCATTTTTATCACTGATCAACTATAGATCAAAATTATACTTCCAGATATATCAAATTTGGTATGCAGATAGGTAATTAGGTGAATATAAAAAAAAATCTGAAACTGGTAAATTGTTATCATTTTACTACAATTTTTCACTTTAATTGATTCTATTTCAACTTATACTGGACGAATATAAAATTATTCGATAACCAATTGACATTGATCGAAAAATCTCATCTTGTACTGGACCGAAAGTAATATTGTATGAAAACGTCGATCATTACCAATTTACGTTGACCCCTTCACATCAGTGTCGATAACTAGCAAACTTCAAATATTGCATTGAACGGTAAACACTAGTTGCTATAATTTAGATTCTGTCTAAAATATACTCGTACTTATAACTAGGAGTATAGTCGAATTTCGTATTTATTATGTTATTAACTGAGATTTGGTATTAATTATTGTTTCAATATTTAGCGCACATCGATAGTGTAAAATCATTATTTTTATAAATAATGATTAAATAATAGGCATTTCGGTATAGGGCGCCGCGGCGGCGCCGTGTGGGAGCGGTGCGATAAAACTCAATGTTTTGTTTCTGGATATCTAACCTATAAGGTTGCGATTTATGCTACGAAATTTATAGCTTTCTTAAATTATACTTATATATTTGTGATTATATTATTATTACATTATTTTAGTAAATACGTATGGTATAGACAATAGTTTAAACCAAAAATTAATAACAATTTTAGTATAGTTATAAGTAGGAATGTACAGTTAACTCGAGAATGAAAACTTATTGGCAACAAATTGTTTTCTTGAGAATTGAATAGATAACAGTCAATTTGTTACATAATCGTCTTTACGAACTATAACGTGTCAATAACAAGTTTCAGATATTAAATAATGTATATGTTGACAGGGAACAATTCCGTATTTGCTTAACATATGCTATTACTATCCACAAATCACAAGGCCTTAGTTTTGGCAGTCCTCTTCTCAACATAGCCTCCTCTATATTTAATAAAGGGCAGGTTTACGTTGGACTCTTCAGAGTTAAAACCTTAGAAGTACGTCTTAACAATTTTGACCCAAGTCACGAGAGCTCTATTGTAGAGTACAACCATCTGTGGACGTTATACCGCCCCGATTTGCCCAAAAATTCCTGATACTGAATTGGCATTGCACTTGAACATTTAAAAGTTACAAGAAAATATAGAAAATAACACAAAAAAAAGACAATTATAATTTGGTATTAATTTAGTTATAAATAAGTACCTCGTATAATTTATGTACAAAAAGTAATGATATCCCATCAAAAACATAATGATTAGTTTAATATTATGATATATGCCTTGATTGTTGATACGACAAAAGAGATGAGATCTAAATGGGTGCCAAGTTCAATGGTCTGTCCTGAAATGTATTTATAACAATATAAAATATCATTTCTTCTTATAACTTAGGATAATATACTGTAGCCTAAGGTCTAGCCTTCGCAAGTTCTAAACATGTTACTTGTCGGTTCCTATTTTATTATTAGTAGTAACTAGCAATCGAAAGTAATAATTGGTATATGATGAACTTTAATAGGCTACAGTATATTACTAAGTTATAAGAAGAAATGATATTATATATTGTTAAAATACATTTCAGGACAGACCATTGAATGGCACCCATTTAGATCTTCATTGTCGTAGAAAAAATCAAGGCATATATTTATTAAACTCGGTATCATTTCACATTTATGTTTTTGATGGGATATTATATTCTAAACAGTTCATGGCATATAATACGTATCATAGACAAAGAAACTTGCAGTTGATTTCATATATACATAAACTTGTTATTACCCCGGTCTCGGGCAATCAAAATAAAAAAAATATTTGCTGATATCTGTATACGTATTTAAAATTAATAGGTGTTGTCTATGATAAGATAATTGTAATTCATAGATTATATGTTCGATTTAGAGTTTGATAATTACATTATATGTAACCGTAAGGTCTGCACTGACAAGCTCTGATGGTCAAAATGAATAGTCACATAAGTTATTCGATACTGATGAACTTTAATACCATGAGTATGTTCTTAAAATAAGGGACCGAAATCAGGATCTTTTGTACTTAAAAAATCTCCTTTTTTCTATGTATGAGTACTCCATCCACGAATGTTGTAACCTGTATAATCTGTTTTAGACCTTGTTGAAGAATAAAGTCCCGGGAATAAGTGAGTGGTTAAATTTACTCTTACACACTTACCTATCTCTCTCGTTGAATATAACGCAACATGTTGTACTGGTTATATTTTATTTTATTAGTAGTTTAATTCGTCTCAGAAGTATAATGACGTAAAAAGAAGAATTACCAAATTTGCAGAAATTAAAAGTTAGTAGTGCGTGGTCGTCTGCACGACAATGCGCCGGCGCCGTTGGAATGACGTCACTTTGGATGCACCGTCAATGCCAGACTAAGGTTTTACAAGTACCTAAATAGATAAAAATAGAATCCTATAAGTACTAATAGGATCTAAATGAGACGGTGGGTGGTGTGAGTGCGTATGTCACGGCGTCGTGCCGTCCTAATGCGATCAGATCTACTGAGTTTCACGGTCAAGGTTGTGTATCACGTGTAACTTATTAGTGATTATTTACTCTAAAAAATTCTTTTTCAAAAACAATGGTCTAAATTAGTTGGTCCCGCGACTTTGTATCTGTATAATTTTTTGATGATAGGATGAGCATGTGATCAGGTCTGTTGGCACATCATGACGAATTCATTAGGATAATTCCTAGTGAATTTGCCACATGTGCCAAACAGTGGTGGTCTCCAAGGAAGACCTCATGGATCAATAATGGAACAATAAGGCCACTAATGCCCAATTCTAAGACATGGTCATTCTTTTTATGATGATCCTGCTTTCCCAATGAACTGTAGAATTAAAACATTATATGACTATTTAAAAGTCCTTATATTAAAATTACATGAATAAAGATTATTCTTAATCTATTCTAT